ATACCTCATTATAGTTTTCACTTGCATTTGCCTGATGATTAGTGATGTTGAGAGAACAATGAAAAGTCATTTTTTTCATACATTTGTTGGTCATTTATATGTCTTCTTTTGTGAATTGTCTGTTCAGATCATTTGCCCATTTTTTAAATTGGATTGTTTGTGTTTTTGCTGTTGAGATGTTTGAGTTTCTTGTATATTCTGGATATTAATCCCCTGTCAAATGAATAGCGTATTAGTTTATTCTCACATTGCTATAAAGATTTTACCTGAGACTGGGTAATTTATAAACAAAAGAGGTTTAATTTACTCACAGTTCCACATGGCTGGGGAGGCCTCAGGAAACTTAAAATCATGTCAGAAGGCGAAGGGGAAGCAAGGCACATCTTACATGGTGGCAGGAGAGAGAGCTCATGCGGGGGAAACTGCACCTTTTAAACAATCAGATCTCATGACAACTCCCTCACTATCACAAGAACAGCATGGGGGAAACTGCCCTTATGGTGCAATTACCTCCTACCAGATCCCTCTCCCTCCACACATGGGGATTAGAGTTCGAGATGAGATTTGGGTGGAGACACAGCCAAACCATATCAAACACTTTGAAAATATTTTCTCTCATTCTGTAGATTGTCTTTTCAATCTGTTGATTGTTTCCTTTGCTGTGCAGCAGCTTTTTAGTTTGATATAATCCAATTTACCTATTTTTGCTTTTGTTGCCCATGGTCTTGAGATCTTACATTAAAAATCTTTTTGTAAGATCATGAAATGTCTTACAGTGTTTCCCCTATGTTTTCTTCTAGTAGTTTTACAGTTTCAGGTTTTACCTTTAGACCTTTGATCCATTTTTAGCTGATTTTTGTATAGAGTGAGAGGTGAAGGTCTAATTTCATTAGTCTGCGTATGGATATCCAGTTTTCCTAGCACCATTTACTGAAGAGACCATCCTTTCCCCAGTGAGTGTTCTTGGCATCTTTGTCAAAAATCAGTTGGCTATAGATGCATGGAGTTATTTCTAGGTTCTTTATTCTTTTTTTTTTTTTTTTTTTTTTTTTTTTTTTTTTTTTTTGAGACAGAGTCTTGCTCTTGTTGCCCAGGCTGGAGTACAGTGGCACAATCTCAGCTCACTGGAACCTCTGCCTCCCAGGTTCAAGTGATTCTCCTGCCTCAGCCTCTGGAGTCGAGTAACTGGGACTACAGGTGTGCACCACCATGTTCGTCTAATTTTTGTACTTTTAGTAGAGACAGGGTTTTGCTATGTTGGCCAGGCTGATCTCGAACACCTGACCTCACATGATCCACCTGCCTCGGTCTCCCAAAGTGCTGGGATTACAGGCTTGAGCCACTGCACCTGGTCCTAAGTTATCTATTCTATTCCATTAGTCTATGTGTCTGTTTTTATGCCAGTGCCATGTTATTTTCGTTACTACAGCTTGGTAGTATATTTAGAAGTCTTGAAGCCTGTTCCCTCCAGCTTTGTTCTTTTTGTTAAAGATTGCTTTGGCTATTCTGGGATGTTTGTGGTTCCATACATATTTTAGGATTTATTTTATATTACTGTGAAGAATGTCACTGGTATTTTAATAGGGATTGCATTGACTCTGTAGATGGTTTGGGGTAGTGTGGTAATTTTAACAATATTAATTCTTTCCATCCATGAGCATGGGAAGTTTTTCCATTTGTTTTACCCTCTTCAGTTTCTTTTATCAGTGTTTTGTAGTTTTCAATGTAGAAGTATTTTATCTCCTTGGTTAAATTTATTCCTAAGTATTTGTTTGTAGCTGTTATAAATGGGATTGCCCTCTTTGTCTCTTTTTTTAGCTGGCTTATTGTGCACAGAAACACCACTGACTTGTATGTTTATTTTGTATTCTGCAACTTTACTGAATTTGTTTATGAGTTCTTCAAGTTTCTTGGTAGAGTCTTTAAGTTTTTCTCTACATAAGAGCTCGTCTGCAAATAGGGTAAATATGACTTCCTCTTTTCCAAATGTAATGTCCTTCATTGTTTTCTCTTTCCTGATTGATCTAACTAGGACTTCCAGTACTATGTTGAGTAAGAGTGGGTAAAGTGAGCAGCATGCTCATGGAAGCGGATGGAAGCTCCCTAGCCTTTCCCCCATATCTTCTTTCAGTTCTTAGAGGAAAAGTTTTCAGCTTTTCCCCATTAAGTGCATTGTTAGCTATGGGTTTGTCATATATGATATTTATTATGTGGAGGTGCTTTCCTTTCATACATAGTTTATTGAAAGTTTTTATCATAAAGTGGTGTTGAATTTTATCAAATGCTTTTTCTGTATCTACTGAGATTACCATATGGTTTTGTCCCTGATACTGTTGATGTGAAGTATCACATTTAATGATTTGTCTACATTGAGCCATTCTTGCATTCCTATGATAAATCCCACTTGATCATGCTACATTATCTTTTTTTGTGTGTTGCTGAATTGGGTTTGTTAGTATTTTGTTGAGGATTTTTGCACCTATTTTCATCAGGAATATTGGCCTGTGGGTTTCTTTATGTTGTCTTGTTGTTGTCTGGTTTTGGTATTTAGGTTATGCAGGCCTCATAAAAGTGAGCTAAGAAGAATTCCCTCTGCATCAATTTTTTGGAATAGTTTGAGAAGAATTGGTATTAATTTATATTTAAAGAGTCATAGAATTTGGTGGTAAAGCCATATGGTTCTGGACTTTTGTTTTGGGGGAGACTTTTTATCACAGATTCAATCTCCTTACTTGTTATTCGTCTGTTCAGGTTCTTCTATTTCTTTTTGGTTCAGTGTTGGTAGGTTGTATGTGTCCAAGAATTTATCCATTTCCTCTAGGTTTTTGAATTATAAAGAATATCACAAAGGATACAGAGGAAGAGGTGCATAAGGTGAGATATGGGGGAAAGGCTAGAGAGCTTCCATGCCCTCCATGAGCATGCTGCTCTCCAACAACCTCTAAGTGTTCAGTGGTAGCCATCTGGAAGCTCTGACTTATAAATTTTATTTTGAAATTTCTGTTCAGTTTCGAGTAATTGTCTTTTTTTAGACTAATTTCTAAATATTTCCATTATAGTCTGAAACTATCCTTTGTGATATAATTATTTAAAATTTTGTTCAGACTTTTTTATAGCTTAATATATAGTCACTTTTGTACATGTTTTATTTGTGCTTGAGAAAAATGTATTCCTTTACTTTTTCTATGCAGACTTCTGTATATTTTAATTAAGTCAAGCTTATTAATCATAATGTTCAAATTACCCATCTCTTTACTAAATACTACTCTATCAATAATTTGAAAGTATAAAGTCCTTCTATATACCCATAAATCCTTCCCCTTATAAATTTGTCAGTACTTGAGCCTGCCACAATGTTGACTAGACTGCTTTAACAGAAAGCCTCCATCACATAATGGCTGAAATACAATATACTTTTTTATTTCTTGCTCAAATAATAATTCAAGATGAGTATTCTAAAACAATGGGTATCCCTTTTTTCATGTGATAAAAGGAGTCAAGGACCCAGGCTCCTTTCATCTTTTGGCTTCACTAGGCTCTAGAACCTTGTTTTCATCTATACTGAGCTGGTGGAAAAGAAAAAGAGTGTGAAAGAGACTTGCCCATCTTCTTAGGGTCTCGATCTAGTAGTGACAAGTCTGTTAGCCGAAATATTTACATTGTGGCACTGGCTGCAAGGTGGTTGGGTAAGGAAAATGCAGCTTCTGTCTGAGATGATGATTCTCCTCTACATAATCCCTCTTTGCTAGGATAATTATGATGGTGTCCAGTCTCTAAATTGTTCATTTATGAGTGGACAAAAAGAAAAACTAGGAAAGAGGGAGCCTTTGGGAAGGGTCACACACTCAAACACTACTCTCTAAACTATAGGTACAAATATCAGAATTTTTGAATTATAAAGGATATCGCAAAGGATACAGAGGAAGAGGTGCATAAGGTGAGATATGGGGAAAGGCTACAGAGCTTCCTTTGAATGTAAATTACAACTGTGGACTGAAGGAGACTGCATTAGGAGTTCAGAATGTCAGAATGAGGTTCAAATCTTTAGAAGATTATCATCATCAGACGAAGAGGGTGATTTCTTCCCAGCTTCCATGCCTATTGGGAGTCCAGTGACCCCAGGTTGTCCCCTCTCTCTCCTATTAGGGAAGAAGAAACATCTTCACTTCTGAGAGTTCATTTTCTTTATGATATTCAAGGTCAATGACCACCTCCTCCTGGACAGCCTGCCAAGCCTTTGACTGATAGGTCTCTCCCCCTGTCTGAGCTCTAAGATATTTACTATGTCTCCCCATTAGCCCTTCTGTCCCATGCCCTACAATAGTCTCTCTTTCTGTGTGTATATGTGTATTTAAATTTGTATATGTATATGTGTGTATGTGTTTATATATGTTTATATATGAAACAGATACTCTTTCACTCAGGAATTCTAGCTCTCTTAGTCTACAGAAATAAAAGATTTATAAATAAAGATGTTCAATATGACATTCTTTAGATTATTAGTAATTAGTACAATACAAATACTTGATTATTAGCATTTAAGTGAGAGCTGTGCAGTTATGAAAATCCACATTTTGAGAAATACTTACATGATTAAATAAGGCTGGCAAAAATAGGTAACAAAAGATGTTTATATTAAAAGGATTGTTTATATTAAATATGGAGGGCAACTAAAAGATAATGCAATGAAACATCAGTTAATTCTAAGCAACTCTTTCTAAAAATATATTTTTTCTTTTCTTTTTTCCATAAAACATTTTGTAGTTAGGAAGCAGAAATAAATGATATCTTTCATTCTATCAGCAAGAACACAAGACTGGTAATGTGAGAGGAGGAGGCATCATTCCTGCAGAAGCCCTATCCCAGGTGAAGAAGGATAGGGCTAGGGGCAAACAAAAGGAGGAAGCCAAGACTCTCTTGCTCTGCCCCGACTTGGCCAGTGGAGGCAGTGAGGAGCTAAAGATCATTCCTTCTTTCTTTCCTTCACCCTCCACAGGCAGCTCTGCAGGGAAGTCTGTGACAACCTGGTCAGACTTAAGGCCCACGCTCTGGTCAGAGTCATGCCATCCCAGACTCTGCTGCCTGTCCTGGTTCTCTGTGTGTTGCTGCTTCAGGCCCAGGGAGGATACCGTGACAAGAAGAGCATGCAGAGTAGGTGATGGGCCGCTGCATGGGTGAGGGGGAATTGGGTAGGGGGAATGGAGGGCCTGTGTCCAGTCTGAGTAGGACCTAGGAGTTGAAAACTCTCTGCATATCCAGCTCTGACCACAATGTTGTGTAGACTCTGGACTGTCCCAAATCATGGCCCTCCAGCCCCTTAGCTGGCCCTGGGTATAGTAATGGGAATGAAGAAGAAACCTACATATTTTGCTGTTCCTTCTCAATACTTAGAGATAAATGGCACATACCATAGTGAAAGGTACACCAGGGCTGAGAATCCAGTGGGAAAGAAGACGATTAGTTGATTTATGCACATTTGTGAGGAGTAAAGATTCAGAAGTGGTTATGACAGTAGGTGTAGGTGTAGAATGGATATAAGTGTAGGGAAATAGGACATAAGACAAGCAAAAGTTGGGGTACACAGACACAAGTTAAGGTTATCATCAAACGGACAAGGAGAGTGGTGGTGGAAAGGAAACTAAAGAAGGGGCAGGAAGACTAGAGACAGTGACAGTGAGCAGAAGAGAAGGAGAGAAAAGAGGCAAGTTGATCCTCATCTCTGAGTTCTACTACTCAGAGACTAGGAGAGGATTTGAAAGACGTCTCATGCTTCTTTGAGCTCTCAGGATCAGACTATAGATTCTATGGCGGTGACTTCACCAAGGCCATGGCTAGTAAGGGAGATGGAGTTCTGATTGCTGGTGTATGGAGAAGGTCCAGGAAGTCCAGGCATTGTGGTGTATTGGGGTAAGATGTACAGTGGAGAGACAGGATTTAAAATATGACCAATCACTAGGATTTGGTGATGGGCAGGAAGGTAGTTCTATGAAGAAGGAATCCAGGAGTGTCATGAGTGAGACCTGGGTTCAAGGGTCTTGGAGGAAGCTTTAGCTTGAGAAAAATGTTCTCTAGGAAGCTGCATTTATTTACCCCTCTATCCTCCTTTTCAGAAACACAGCTATCCCCAGAAATTAAAGTCTGCCAGGAACGGCCTAAACTATATCTATGCAAACGCTTCTGTGAATCTCACCGAGACTGTCAAGCAAATAACATATGCTGTTCTACCTACTGTGGGAATGTTTGCATGAGCATCCTGTGAGTGGGAGACTGGGCTGGGATGTGCATCCTGCTTCCCAACTCCTCTATCCAAGACTGTGCCCACATCTGAAGCACAAGGACTTCAAGTCACCAGCATAAGAACATCAACAGGAATGCCGCCCTCCCTACTGTCTGAACTCCTTGTCCCTGTCAAATAAACCAGAACAAATGTTCAGGGATCCTGCCTCTTTCGCTGCCACTACAGGTGATCGTTGAGAGCCCACTGTAGCCCCCACAGACACCCCACTCGTCTTGTGTCCTGGTGTTCGATTTCTCTCCCTGGTTATGCTTCTCTACCCTCCCTCTCCCTCTTTGGCCCATATATCCCTGCCAGCCCTCAGGAGGCCCAGCCCCTTGCTGTTTTGCTCACTGAACCAGTACTCCCGGGGGAGGAACTGCTCATGTGCAGCATCTCCCGATGCTAAGAACATTTCTCACCCTGGAGTCAGAAGGACCCATTAAGCATGAGATGGGTGGCAGTTAGAACCCGAGGTAAAGAGTGGGAGACCCCCAAGCACTGCTTTGGTCTCCTTAGCCTTGGTGCACCCCCATCCCATACTCCCCAATCTCTCTGTAAGGTTCACATTACTGTCTATTTATCATTAGGATAATGAGTCCCAGAAGCCCAGCAAGCCCAAGGCCACAAGAGAGTGAGAGGATATGATGTGGCCAGAAGAGGGTGTTTCTTCTAGGCTGACTTTTTCCTCACTTCTCTCCATTACCTGAGACCAGAGGCATCCTAGTGAGAGTGAGTGCCTGCACCAACCCCAAAGCTCCTCCTATCCAGCACCCACCAATATGGCTACTCCTCTGATGGGACCCATTTTAGGCCTCAGGATCTGACACTCCAGTACCTTCCATTAACTGAATAGTCCCTATCTTTCCCAAGCCCTCTTCCTTAGGGGCCAGTTCATTCTCTTTTCTTTAGATCAAGAGGAACACTAAGGGATGTGGAACAGGTGGTTCATGCTGCTGCTGCTAAGGAGTAATTGGCACAGAGTGGCTATGGGTCTTCCCTGTCATCCTGTTGTGAGTTAGTGGAAATTAATCAGTGTGCTACAGAATCTCCTACTCTATGTAATTGCAACTCCTCTGAAATGATCCTGGGGTTAGATCCAGGGTTGGGTCACATGTAGCTAACTGGGACATGAAGCCAAACGTGAAGAGGTTTCAGGAGGACAAGCCATGCCCAGAGGCAGGTGTGCAGTGTTATGCTCCAGTCTAGTGCTTCTTGCTGGGCCATTCAATGAAATAGACATCAGAGAAGAAAATTTCCCGCATCAGACCAGAGGCTGTGAGCCACCTCTGAGACATCACCAGGCTTTGGGTATCTCAGGTTTGTTTTCACCTTTCTCAAGAGCTTCCCTTGGACAAGGATGTCTTAGGAAAGAGATCATCATCAACCACCAACAGACATCAAATGTAGTCGGTGGGCTGTAAGAGCATGATCTCCAAGAGACCTTATTTGGTATTTCCTCGGATAGCCTCCCTTACCAAGCATCCTCTCAAGCCATCTCCAAACATGCCTCCTAGACACTACAGGCATGTCTGCTTTTATTGAGCCTTGCTCTATTGCACTTCACAGCTATAGTGTTTCATACAAATTGAAGGTTTGTGGCAATTCTGCATCGAACAAGTCGTCTGGCACCGTTTTTCCAACAGCATATGCTTACTTCATGTCTCTGTGTCACATTTTGGTAATTCTCAAAATATTTCAAACTTGCTGGGTGCAGTGACTCACGCCTGCAATCCCAGCACTTTGGGGGGCCGAGGCAGGTGAATCACCTGAGATCAGGAATTCGAGACCAGCCTGACCAACATGGTGAAATTCCGTCTTTAATAAAAATACAAAATTAGCTGAGTGTGGTGGCGCATGCCTGTAATCCCAGTTACTTGGGAGGCTAAGGCAAGAGAATTGCTTGAACCTGGGAGGTGAAGGTTGTAGTGAGCTGAGATCTCGCCTTTGCACTGCAGCCTGGGCAACAAGAGCGAAACTCCATCTCAAAAAACTATGAACTGCGCCCCTAAAAAACAATGAATTTAATGGATAAATGTTGTTTGTATTCTGACTGCTCCAACAACTGGGCATTTCTCCATCTCTCTCCCTCTCCTTAGGCCTCTCTATTTCCTGAAACAAAATAATATTAAAATTAGGCCAATTAATAACTCCACAATGGTCTCTAAGTGTTCAAGTGATAGGAAGGGTTCTATGTCTCTCACTTTAAATGAAAAGCTGGAAATGATTACAGTTAGTGAGGAAGGCATGTCAGCAGCCAAGATATGCCAGAAGCTAGGCCTCTTGTGCCAGTTAGCCAAGATATGAATGCAAAGGAAAAGTTGTGGAAGGAAATTAAAAGTGCTACTCCAGTGAACACATGGATGATAAGAAAGCAAAACAGCCTTATTGCTGATATGGAGAAAATTTTAGTGGTCTGGGCAGAAGATCAAACTAGCCACCACATTCCCCTAAGCCAGAAACCTAACCAAAGAAAGGCCCTAGCTCTCTCCAATATCAGAAGGTGAAAGAGGTGAGAAAGCTGCAGAAGAAAAGTTGGAAGTTAGCAGAGATTATTTCATGAGGTTTAAAGAAGCAATCTACATAATATAAAAGTGCAAAGTGAAGCAGCAAGTGCTAATGTAGAAGTTGCAGCAAGTTACCCAGAAGATCTTGCAAAGTGATGAAGATGTCTACACTAAATAACAGATGTTCAGTGTGGAAAAAGCAGCCTTCTGTAGGAAGATGTCATCTAAGACTTGCATAACTAGAGAGCAAAAGTCAATGCCTGGCTTCGAAGCTTGAAAGGATAGGCTGACTCTCTTGTTAGGGGCTGATGCAGCTGGTGACTTTGAGTTAAAGGTAATGATGATCATTTACCAATCTGAAAATCCCAGGTCCCTTCAGAATTCTGCTAAATCTACTCTGTCTGTGCTCTATAAAGGAGACACCATCTTGATGATAGCCCATCTATTTACAACATGGTTCACTGAATATTTTGAGTGTACTTTTGACACCTAGACACCTACTGCTCAATTACAAAAAAAAGATTTGTTTCAAAATACTACTGTTCGTTGACGACGTGCCTGGTCACCCAAGAGCTCCAATGGAGATGTACAAGGAAACTAATATTGTTTTCATGCCTGCTAACACAATATATAAATTCTGCAGCCCATGGATCAAGAAGCGATTTTGACTTTCAAGTCTTATTGTTTAAGAAATACATTTTATAAGGCTATAGATGACATAGATAGTGATTCTTCTGATGGATCTGGGCAAAATAAATTGAAAGCCTTCTGAAAATGATTCACCATGATAGATGCCATTAAGAACATTCATGGTCGACAGCAAGAGGTGAAAATATCAACACTAACAGGAGTTCGGAAGAAACTGATTCCAACTCTCATGGCTGATTTTGAGAGTTTCAAGACTTCATGGAGGAAGTCACTGCAGATGTGATAGAAATAGCAAGAGAACTAGAGTTAGAAGTTGAGCCTGAAAATGTGATTGAATGGCTGTAATCTCATGATAAAACTTGAATGGATGGAGGGTTACTTTTTTTTTTTAAGAGATAGGATCTCACTCAGTTGCTCAGGCTGGAGTACAGTGGCATGATCAGAGCTCACTGCAGTCTTGAACTCCTCGGCTCGAGCTACGCTCCCACCTCAGCTTCCCTGGCAGCTAGAACTACAGGCATGCACTACTGCCCTTGGCTTTTTTTTCTTTTTTTTCTTTTTTTTTTTTTTTTGTAAAGACAAGATCTCCCTAAGTTCCCCAGGCTGGTCTCAAGTTCCTGGCCTCAAGTGATCCTCCTACCTGGGCCTCCCAATGTGCTGAGATTATAGGCATGAGCCATGGCACCCAGACAAGGAGTTGCTTCTAATGGATGAGCAATGAAAGTGGCTTCTTGAATTAGAAACTTCTCCTGGTAAGGATGCTGAAAACATTTTTGCTACTTGGGAGGCTGGGGCAGGAGGATCACTTGAACCCAGGAGTTTGAGGCTACAGTGAGCTATGATCCTTACCACTGCACTCTAGCCTGGGTGGTAGGGCAAGACCCTGTCTCTTAAAAAAAATAGCAACTCCTCATCCATGAAAGTTGTATCATTATACTGTTGAAATGACAACAATGGATTTAAAATATTACATAAACTTATGATAAAGCAGTAGCGGGATTTGAGAAGATTGACTCCAATTTTGAAAGAAATTCTTCCATGGAAAGAAATTCAAACAACATCACATGCTACACAGAAGTCTTTCATGAAAGAAATAGTCAACTGATGCAGCAAACTTTATTGTTGTCTTATTTTAAGAAATTTCCATAGTCACTTTAGTAACCACCACCCTGGTTAGTCAGTAGCCGTCAACATTGAGGCAAGACTCTCTACCAGCAAAACAATTATGACTCACTGAAGGTCAGATGATCACTAGCATTTTTAGCAGTAAAATACTTTTAATTATATACATTGTTTTTAACATATAATGCTATTGCACACTTAATAGATTATGGTATAGTGTAAACATAACTTTTATATGCAGCAGGAAACCAAAAATATGTGTGATTCTCTTTATTGTGGCAGTTGGATCCGAACTTGATCTCCAAGGTATGTCTGCATTAAGAGAGGCAAAATTAGCCAGGCACGGTGGCTCATGCCTGTAATTCCAGCATTTTGGGAGACCGAGGCAGGTGGATCACCTGAGGTCAGGAGTTCGAGACCTACCCAATGTGGTGAAACCTCGTCTCTACTGAAAATACAAAAATTAGCCAGGCGTAGTGGCACACATCTGTAGTCCCAGCTACTCAGGAGGCTGAGGCAGGAGAATCGCTTGAACCTGGAATTCAGAGGTTGCAGTATGCCAAGATTGCACCATTGCACTCTAGCCTGAGTGACAGTGTGAGACTCCATCTCAAAATAAACAAGTAAACAAACAGAGAAACAATGAGAGGCAAAGTTACCTGCCAGGGGCCACATGGAGAGTAACCTTCCATGTCCAAATCCAGTGCACTTTGCCATGTAAACACACTATAGGTGTCTAACTGCTCTATTCCCTGTCACTGGTGCAAGTGCCATGAACCATGAATTTTACTAGAAGCAGTTGCTCCAATCACTGGTGTCCTGACCTATGTTCCAGAGAGTTCTCTGGACAGCCTACCCTGCCCCAGGGAACTCAGAGG